AAAATAAAATCACAAAACCATATTGTACGATTTTACTGTACGATGACGACAGTAATATTATTGGCATAATTAAAAACGAGTTGGATTACTCTCCAAGATGACATTGACAGAGCAGTGGAAGGGTCTCATATTTGGCTTACGCATTTCAACATTAATAAATGCAAAATAATGCATGTTGGCTGCGCTTGTAAAAAGTCGACGCACAATTACTTAATGGCCAACGTTTTTTGCATTAATTACAATTAGAATGCTAGGGCGTCTCAAAAAAATATTTCGGAGTCGCAGTTTTTACTTATGGCGCATATTGTATCTTATTTACATTTGCTCTCACCTTAAATTTGCTGTTCAAGCATGGTTGCCACATTTAAAGTCCAAAATTGCTATCCTCAAGCAAGTACAGCATCGAGCAACAAAAACAATAGCATCTATTAAACACCTGTCTTATGAAAGTTGACTCCAACAGCTCGGTCTAGCAACACATGAAGAACGCGGTAAAAGATTTATTAATTAAATTGTTAACTTACTTGATCGTTAAGCAATCGCTCTAAAAATCTCAATATAGGCTTATCTTATATTAGGATTTTTTTTCCTAGCTATATTTTGTCTTTATTATTTTTATTTTTTTATATTTGCACGTGCGTTAAACTACGTGCGTACAACTAATTTTTTACGTACTAATTTGTACGTGCGTACAAATAATTTTTTTTCTTATTTGTACGCGCGTACAAATAATGCCTACCATATATATATATATATATATATATATATATATATATATATATATATATATATATATATATATATATATATATATATATATATATATATATATATATATATATATATATATATATATATATATATATATATATATATATATATATATATATATATATGTATATATATATATATATATATATATATATATATATATATACATATATAATATATATTATATGTATATATATATACATATATAATTTATATTATATATATATATATATATATATATATATATATATATATATATATATATATATATATATATATATATATATGTATATATATATATATGTATATATATATATATATATATATATATATATATATATATATATATATATATATATATATATATATATATATATATATATATATATATATATATATATATATATATATATATATATATGCATATATTATTATTATTATTATTATTAAAATGTGTTTTTATGATGATATAGAAAATAGATATATTAAAAAATATGTAATTGCCAATCTTTCTTAAATTTTTAAATGTCTTTCAATAATCACAATTTCAAATATAAAAAATTGTACAAATTAATGAAGAAATTTAAAGTTTTTAAATTTCTTCATTAAATTTTAAAAAGTTTAACTGTTTATTTATATTTTTAAGATATCTAAGAGAAAAATAAAATATACTAAGTTGCAAGAGTCTGACTTTAAATGGATTCAAGTATGTTATGGTAATCATTATTCTACATATTTCAAGTTATGTCATAAAATATTTTTTTATAGTCAGTGGAAATAGAGCAAGGACACTAAGTAGCAATGCAATTATCAAATTTCATAAGTCAATGTTTAATGAAAATAAGTACAATAAAAATAAAGATAGATATTTTGCTAAAAGCTTTAATGGTTTGTTACATTCTTAAGAAAGAGATTTTAAAAGCTGAAACCTTCATGGTTTTAAGTAAAACTAATAATTCTTTAAACTTGATCAATCAAGATGTTTTCATATTCAAAAATTGCCAAAAGATTTAAATAAAGCAAAACAAAGTCCTAATGCACCATTCAATCTGAAGTATTTTTACATTGAAGTTATTGTTACAAGATTTGAATTTATCTCTTCTCAAATTTAAATTCAACGATTCTACAGTTCAACAATTACTAAACATAGTAAGTATGTACAATATTGGTCTTAAAAATTAGCTGCATTAAAGTTACATTCTGTGGATTTGTCATTGCATGTGATTGCACTGCTAAAAAGTTGTAAGAAAATTTCTTTGTGTTTCTCATGAAAGTTAAGCTTAATATGAAATTCCTGCACAATACACATCAGTGTGGATGGTTCTAATATAAATTTTTGATAGACTTTTAAAGCCGTCATATAAAATTAAAAGCTAGATTTGGTACTTTCATATTATTACCTTAACCTGAAAAATTCATATGAAGATTTTCTTAAGAATTGTAAATGATCACATATCATTAAAGCAACAAAATGATCCATTTATTCCAATTACTAGAGAAATGTTAAAATATGTAAAATCATCTAGAATGTGATATTAAGTTGCATTTGAAACTTCCAAAAAAGTAAAAGGATTATCAACTCTAAGTTCAAAAAGAAATGTCGAAATTAATAGTGTTTAAAAGAAGAAACTAATTCAAGCACCAGATGATGATTTAATGAAAGAAAAACTTTTAAAACGAAAAGAACTTGATGTTTTACAAAATTCTTAATGTTTAGAAAGAGACTGTTATTTATATTTTAAAAATATTTTTTTGTAAAAGTTTATTTCTAGTTTCATAAAAGTGCATGATTCCATTAAATGTATATCAATTATATGTAGTTATTTTTATTTTGCAATATTACCTTGTGTTGTAATTTAATTTGATTAAGTCAACTAAAAGTCATTTATAATCAAGTGACTTTTCTAAAATAATTGAAAATAGGTAACTTTGAAAAAACTGAGTAGTCAATCAACTATGGATTCCTAATAATAGACTAAAAGTCGATTTAGTTGGTTAATTATCATGACATTCTTATTTCTTAATTCGGTATGAGATTTCTGACTTAGGTCCGATTTCAAAAATTTATTAATCATCTATGGTCATCTTTAAAAAGTATATTAGTCAGTTAAAGAATATTTTGATTAAATTTTTTTCTTTTTTAATAAAATAACCAAAAAAAATAACAGTATACCACTATAGTACCCTTTTTTTACTATATCGTAACTGTGAACCCCCTCCCCCCCCCCCCAAAAAAAAAAAAAAAAAAAAAATTCTTAAAATCGAAGTAGCACAATATCAATACTAGACACTCAGTGCGGTTAAAAAATGCTGATTTTCAAAAAAAGCAGCTAAAGATTTTTACAATAAATCTAAATAATAAATGACAATGCATCAAGTAAATTAAAACCAGCACCATAAGAATTCACTTCTTTTCACTAGTATTGTTTTTAAAACACTTTCTCCTTTCAGAGTTAAGTTTTTTTTCATTTGTATCTCCACTCAGTATATCGCAAACCTTGAACTGTTCTGACGTACGAAACATAGCGACTAGACCACTAGGTCCCATAGAACCAAATCCTTAGCAACTTTTGTTTGACAAAAAACATAATATTCGAGTCTTTTTTATCGTCTCAAGTATCACACATGGTGCAATTATTTAACACGATAATTAATACATTTACCCAATTCAACACAAATTAAAAATACAAATCCATTTAATGACAAAAATCCTCTCCTCTGCCATGACGCATCACTTGATAAATCTACATCTGATGTTCCAGTCATCTCCTTCAGTTTAATAATACATAAGACCACCTGAAAAGCACTTCTGCGGTCCGTGGTTTGAGAACGGCTTACAATATATGCAACATTGGTAAGGAAGGAGGGGTAAACTTTCTGGCTAAAACCTTTTTTTGTAGTTTTCTGTGATGAGACCGATAACTCCTAAATAACTTTTAAAAAATCACATGAGCACCTAGCGTTGTCATAGATTCTGTTTCTTTTTAACTCTAGTATTTATCTTATAGACAAGACTCGTCTAACAGATACTTAGTAACTGTTTCCTATGATCGAAACGATACGGAGTAATTTACGTTTTTATACCAATAGATAAAAAATTATATTAACGAGAAATACAAAGTTGTCTTATTAGACATCCCAAACTTTGTGTGAAAAGATTCTTCAAAAAATCAGGCTAATCAAAAATAAGTGCAAGTGCTTATTTATTATCGCAAAACTTGCCCAGAAGTGGGGTTTGAGCCACGAATTTTTTTTTTGTTTCTGAGGCAAGTGGTTTGGGATTGCTGTGATAATGGGTGAAATAATTTTTTCAACACAACTAAAATGATCAGATCAACGGATACATGCAACTATAAAGTAGTGAAACATTTAAGAATATAGAACATTATAATTGAAGAACATTATAATAGACTTTGCTGTATTATATATTCTCAAATATATTGCAGTGAACATTAAAATTTGAATTGCTCACATTTTTTTGTTTGTATTGTATTTTTATTAGTATTTATTTTTATTGTGTAGGCATCTGTAACATCTCCTGCTTTTAAGGCATGCATTCTTACAACTACGCCACGTTTGCATTGCTTAGAATAAAAATTTATGATAAGCTAGTTCAGATCAATATTTATAGTTCTTTTTGGTTTTATTAAATATATTTATATTATTATTGGAATTTTATTTATTTATTGTTTTTTTTTTTTAATTTCTATAGTATTGGACATACTATAGCTTAAATATGGCATTGGAACTTTTTGAATTTTTGGCATACTGTTAAAAAGATGAATATGATTATAATTTCGGCATTCCTTACAAAATGCTGTTTAAATTTTGTAAATGCAAATCTATAGTGTGGGAACGGATATAGTGTCACTTCATCCGGACTCAAATTATTTAGATTACAAAGTATAAAAGACAAGTATGTGTCTGAATCATATAATACAGTAAACAAAAATTGATTAAACATAAATATGTGCTATTAATAAACATCAGTATATTAAAAATATCTCTTGTCAAAATTTATCTAATAAAATATTCGTTATATATTAGTATATAAATAAAAGCAACGGTCACATTAAAAAACAAATACTAGTTAACTATATTTTACTTTTGATTATGGTTTTCGTTAAATAAACAATTTATAAATAATTAAACTTTAGTTTTATTTAACAAAAATAAAAAATAAACAAAAACTCTAAGTTTAATATAACAAACTTACACAAAATAATAATAAGATCAGCCTAAAATAATAATTTATAAATTATCAAAATTTAGTAACGGCATTCCCCACAAAACCAACTACTTATTGGTTTTCGCTCAAGACCTAAGCAACCAAAGTGGTTCCACGATAAACATCTATCGCATTGAAGCCAACAATTTTTTTTTTTTACCAACAATAGCTGTTGCTAGATCATCTTCCTGATGGCAAAGAGCACAACATCGTCTGACGTTGTTTAAATTTTTGATTTGGTTTTCCAATGCCATCCATGCCGAATCATCAAAAAATTGTTTAAAGTGATGAATATCGACTCTAGGATCAGCAGCTCGCATATCAACAACTGATTTCAATGATGTAGTTGACAATTTTGAACACAAATTTATAGCTTTATTAGCATCGTCATCGGACACTAACCATCGCAAAGTTAAAATTTGTCTATCTATTGGGCGCAACTTTTCATACTTTTTAGGTGCATGGTAAAAGAGCCGCTGCTTTAAGTTTAATGGTCTGCCTGAAGATTTTCTGACAATAGGTTTTAATAAAAGAGTTGGCTGGCTAAATGACTTTGTTGGAGTTTTGTCATTTTTGATTTGGTCAATTTCTTTTCCTTGAATTTCATGCTCATTTGGTTCTTCTTTGCACTGCTCTGACTCTTTCTGATGAATTGAAAAGTCAAATCGTTCTTCTATATCATCAGGTCCCAATACATCATCTTGAATTACTATTATATATATACATATTTACAACAATTAACTTTTATATTTAAAAGTATTTATTACTTTTGTCCTATTATATTATTTCTTTTTTATTTAAACCAAATTATTTAAACACATTCAAAGAAATAAAATCTATTACCAATTTCGGAAGAGTTCCTTATATTTAAATCTGTTGAGTCATTACTTTGGATATTTGGGTTTGTTGACATCCATTGAGTGGTACGACTGTGATTTTCCAACGTTTTTACCCATTCCAATGCACTAACAAAACTTGAAGGAGGAAGATCTGCAAGAATTGAAGCTATTGGTTGTAAATATGACATTACTGTCTGGTATCGCTGAGTGTAAGTTAGTACTCTTTCCTTAACAGGTGCAAAAGAAACAGATGACATATTTTTTGATGGGATATGACAAGATTTGGTTTTAGGTGTATGCCATCTATAAAAAATAAACAAAAATTATAATAGCTACTTTATGGTATTTTTGTATAAAAAAAAATATTTAAAATTATAAAGAAACCTTATATAGACCAAGGGATTATGTACATAAGATTTTAAGATTTTATTTTTGCACCATGTAATGTAAGATATTTTTAAACCATTATTATATGTAGAAACAAAAAACAGGTGGTGGACTCCTTTTTTTAGAGAAGTGATCTTTTTGGGCTCTGAAAGGACATAAAATGCCCAAATACAGACATATTTTTAAATTACAAGTAATAATAATGTTTATTTGCATTTAAATTAAATACGAAAAGGTGAAACAGGTAATCACAAGATTACGCTTACGTAATACTACTAATATAAAAAAAGATAGAGATAATTACAATACAAATTAATAGAGTACGCAATTGCGTTGTGAATCATAGTTATTTAACTTTCTTTTATACATTGATAAACAAGGAGAATCAACAATGTGAACTTATAAATAATTTTACAGTTCTTTCACTGAAGAAAAATTTACAGCAATCGTTTGTACATATATTGCGTGATATAATTTTTTTAGCATGACATCTAGTATTGTAGTGAGAGTTTAAAAAGGTAGAAAGATTGGAAAAAGGTAAGTTGACGAGATTGTGTACAATTTTGTATACCATAACAAGATCAAATTAAACTCTACGGTATTCTAGAGAATCGAGATTTAGAAGAATTAGTCTCAATATGTAATCAGAATAAGAAATATGGCATCTTTTACAGGTAATTCTGCTTAAATATCTCTGAACTTTTTTGGTACAATGAATATTTTTTAGAATATAAGGGCTCCACACTGGGGTACAAGACTCTAAAATAGGTTGCACATAGACTTGTAGGCTTTTACTATAAAGTTGAGGATCGTTACTGATAAAAATTTTGAAAAGTAGGTAAAGACAAGAGTAGGCTTTTTTGGCAATATGAGAACAATGCTTGGAGAATTTTGTATCAGATGATACAGTAATACCAATATCATCAATACAATTAACAGTATTTATCATGGTGTCGGGACAAAATGAATACAAGGGAACAGGTAAAGAACACTTCCTAAAGCGTATGTGTAACCATATATTGAACTCTATTTTTAGTTAACAGTATATAAGTTAACAGTATTTATCTCTAACTCTATTTTTAGTTGCCAATAAGTTAACAGTATTTTTAGTTGCCAATAAGTTAACAGTATTTATCACAGTGTCGGGACATACGAGGGAACGGTGTCGGGAATACGAGGGAACAGGTAAAGAACACTTCCTAAAGCATATGTGGAAACATATATTGAACTCTATTTTTAGTTGCCAATAAGTTGTCCATTTGTAAAAGTTTTTTAAGGAATTTACAAGGTCAGCATTAATGTTTATGCTTTGATCTCTCTCTTGGTATAATTTGATATCATCTGCAAACAGCTTCATTTCGCAGTCACCCTCAATAATTGAGCTTATATCGCTGATAAATATAAAAATAAAGTAAGAGCCAATACAGTTCCTTAAGGTATTCCATTCTTGAGAGATACACAATTTGAGTAAGAGTTCCTAATGCAGACACATTGAGCCTGGTCAGTTAGAAAGTTTGTTATCCAGTATAGCAGTTCGTGCTTAATATCATAAGATTTTAATTTGTGCAATAATTAGGGATGTAAGACAGAATCGAAAGCCTTTTCAAAATCAATATAGATAATATCAAAACCTTATGCTTGTTAACAGCCGTGGTCTAGAAGCTAACATTTGTGTAAATGTGGATCTGTGTTTTAGGAAGCTAAAATGATGGATAGATAAAGTTATTCAGTAAAAGATAACTTGTAGTTAGAAGGTAAGAAAGGGTTACCTTTTTTGAAAATTGGGTAAATAATAGCAGTTTTCCAAATTTTTGGGACGACACTAGTTAACATAGATAATTCAAAAAGAGTTAAATGTGGGACAGCAATAGTAGTAGCAAATAGCAATAGTAGTAGCAATAATAGTAGCAAATGATTTTAGAAATATAGCCGCAAATCCATTGGGTTAATTTGATGACTTAGGTAGAAGTTTTTGAAGAGCAGATACAACAGAGTCATAAGAAAAAATAACATTATTCAGAGAATTATCATGAGATAAAAGATTTAACCCTGGTGTGGTAACGTTGTCATCAGTACAAAGAAAACCCTGCGATTTTAACAAGAGGTGGAACAGAATTTGGACAGGTAGATTTGGACTTGTAAAATGTACAAGTAAAATTGCGTTAAATTAGCTTTTTCTTCTATGTTTTTTTCTCTAGCAATACAGTTTCTAATAAATGCAGCATTGTATAAACCAGAACAACTTTTGTAATTGGTAAGAAAGAAATTATCATGTCATCTTTTATAATGTCTGTACAAAATACATATTTTAGATACTAATTTGCGAATGGCGGGGGGTTGAACATGATTTGTTTTAGAACAAAGTACGGAAACATGAGAATATATAGAAGAATTCAAGACATCACAAATAGATTGCCAGAAGGTTTCAACATCTTGGTATTGTTAGGCTAGCATAAACCATTTTACATTTAATAAGTCATTTTGAATTGAATTAAAATCTGCTTTGTAGAAGTTGCATTTAGACAATTAAATTGGATAGTGCAGTGGTCACAAGTGCTAGTAAATGGGGCGGTAGTATCCACATTGTACACCGTTTTAATATTGTTTGTTAAAATGAGGTCTAACAGATTGTCGAGTCTAGTAGATTGGGCTACGAGCTGAGTGAGAGCATTTAAAGAGCAAGTTTCACCAAAAGAATGACAAACATCACCAAAACTAATAGGAATCGACCAGTTGATATGTGGTAAGTTGAAATAGGTTGCTATTACACAAGCAGAATCACATGTTGACAGTAATATGCAAAGCAACCTGCACACAGATTTGGTTTTTATATTTGATGCTGCACAAGGTGGATGGTAATTTTGATGCTGCACAAGGTGGATGGTAATATTTGATGCTGCACAAAGTGGATGGTAAATGCACACAAATCTAGTCTTGCAAAGATTTGAAGCATTAACATCAATGCAGGTAATTTCAGTGTTTTGAAGATCATCAGGAATTTCATAACAAATTTGAAACTCATAGATATCACTGCGTACTAAGATTAGTGAGCCGCCACCTTTGCCGTCACAGTCATGCTGGAATAGATTATAACAGTTGCCGTTTAACAGTAACGAGTCAGGAGTGGTATTGTTGAGGCAAGTCTCTGTGATACGTATGATGTCATCTATATTGGAGTAGGTTGTTTAGGTTTACTAATTTGTAGTTTAATGATCATGCATTGAAATAAACACATTTTAGGATTCTGGTAACAGATTTTAAGGTGAGAAGTAAGAGTATGAGTGGACATCAATTTTGATCAGGGTTTTTATTTTAAATTTTGCTTCTCTGATCCTCTTTACCCCTTTGGTGTTTACAAATAAAGATCTACATGATTTGAGTACCTTCTTTAATGTTGCTTGCTATGTGCATTAATTTAACATCATCTCGAATCTTGGCAGCAATCAATAACATTTGGAAAGGTTCTAGACTCGACAACTAAACGGTTTTTGTTTCTTAAACAAAAACCGTTTTATTTGTCGAGTCTAGAACCTTTAAAAAAATTTTATTTGCATTCACTCCCAACAAGGCTGCAAGCAACCACTATTAAGTTGGGAGTTACTAGGAAAAAAAAGAACACAGTTATAGAGCAAGGAAACGGTTGACAGAAGACTTGAAAAGTTGAAGGTTGTATGAGCCAGGAAAACATGAAGATGGGAGAGAGTTCCAAAGGATTGAAGTGCAGGGAAAAAAACTAGATGAATAAAAGTTTTTAGAGCATGCAGGGACAGATACAGTAAATGAATGAGATTAAGCTGAATGACGAGTAAAACGAGAATGAACTTTAGTTGATGGAACTAGAGAAAATAATTTCTTTGAGCAGTGACCATGATAGTATTTGTAGAAAAGAGAAAGAGATGCAACTTTAAAAAGATGGGAAAGAGGCTCAAGCTTAGCAGATAGTCCAGGTCCAACAACATTTACAATGCATTTTTGGACCTTGTCAAGAAGAGAAAGTGAATTGTTAGAAAAACCAGCCCAAATATGACAACAGTATTCCATACAGGGACAAATAAGAGATTTATAGAGGTAGAGAATGGAATCAGAAGTAAGGAAATGGCGAGCACGATAAAGAGAAGCAACCTTAGCAGAAGCTAATTTAGCAATCGATTGTATATATGGTTTCCATGAAAGGTCAGTAGTAAACGATAATCCAAGAAGACGTAAAGAGGAGGACTCAGTAAGAGGATTGCCATTAATTAATATAGGAATGTTGACCATATTACGGTAGTTGTGTGCAGTAAACAACTGGGTTTTGTTAGAGTTGAAATTCACAAGCCACTGTGAACCCCAATCTATTACTGAAGTGAGATCGGATTCAAGATCAGCTGCTTTTTCTAGGCGATCGAAAAGAGAAGACTTTTTGTCAAGACAGGAGTATAAAGTTGAGTCATCAGCAAAAAGAGCTACTTTAGATGAAAGGTTATCAGGAAGATCGTTTATGTAGATAAGAAACAAAACAGGGCCCAGGATGGAACCTTGGGGAACCCCAGAAGTTACTGGAAATAAAGAAGAGTGTTGGCCTTCAAGGATGACTTAAATAAACTGGTTAGAAAGAAATGATTTGATAATCTCAAAAACTTTCCCAGAAAAACCATATGAAGCAAGCTTATGGAGAAAGACCAGCATGCCGAACTTTGTCGAAAGCTTTAGATATGTCGAGAGCAATAGCCCTAGCCTCACCACCTCCATCTAATGCACGATAAAATCTTTCAGTTACAGCAGTTAGCAAGTCGGCCGTATAGCAAGAGGATCGAAAACCGTATTGATTGTCTGACAGTAGTTTATTTGACTCAAGATGAGATGTGAGGAATTTGTTGATCAAAGACTCAAAGACCTTGCTAATAACAGAAAGAAGACTGATCGGACGATAATTGGAGGGGTCAGAATTTTTTCAAACAAGCAGAAAAACAAGACTCAGTCAAACACTTGTTAAATAGTTTAGAGAGAATTGAAGAAAGTTCTGGAGAACAATTCTGCAAGACTGTGACAGGAATGTTGTCTGGGCCACAAGCTGTAGACGAGTTTAATTGAGATATGACTTTAGCAACAGAAGCCGGAGTGATTTGAATGTCTAACAATGGGTCAACCTGTTTGACTGGAATGGAAGGAAGAGAATGTCCATAAGATTCAAGAGTGGAATTAGAAGAAAAGTTCTTTGCAAATAGTTCTGCCTTATCCTTGGGAGAGGTAATAAGATCAGTCCCATGAATGAGAGATGGAATGTTAGATCTACCCTTGTTAATAGTGCTGTTGAAGATTTTCCAAAAGTCTTTAGAGCCTAACTTCTGTGATAAGATGCGAGATTTAGTGAACTGAGAATAATGGAGTTTAGTATCAGAAAGCACCTTTTTAAATTGATTTCTTGCAATAATAAATAGCCTTTTGTTCTCAAGAGAGTTGTTCTTTTGAAAAAGATGAAAAAAATGATTACGATTGGATATAGCAGCCGCACAAGAAGGAGAAAACCATGGAGTAGAATGAGGCTTGACTTGAAACCGACGCGAAGGAATAAAAGCTTCCATTCCAGCCTGAATCCAGGAGGTTATGTAGGAGGCGCATTTGTCAGCTGAGAGAGAAAAGACATCAGCCCAAGGACCATCACGAAGAAAATCACGAAAGGAATCCCAGTCAGTAGTATCCCAGGTAGTACTAGGTGGTGCGATGATAAAGTGAGCCCAAAAAAAAAGTACGAGAAGAAAGATTTATAGAGATCATTGCATGGTCAGAACCACCTAAGGGAGAAAAGGGAGAAACTGAACATAAGCTGGGTCAGAGACAAGACATAAGTAAAGGAGTGAAGGTAAATGATTAGGGTTGTCAGGAAAACGAGTCACAAAGTTAACTATCTGAGTAAGAGATTGAGAAACGCAGAAGTTAAAGGCTTTAGTGCCAGCAGGATCAGCGGTGTTAGAGCCAAGCCATTCAGTGTGATGGGCATTAAAATCACCAACAATAACAATATTGGCAGAGGGGTAAAGAGAGAGGGCATGGTCAATTTGATCAGAGATAACATCTAAGAGAGTGCAATCATGGGAAGAAGGAGAACGATAAAGAACAAAGAGCAAGGTGATAGAGTGAAGAGGTACTAGGCGAAAGCACATAAAAGAATGGTCAAAGGATTCGAACCTGATTTCACGACAAAGAGGGGAATTAATGCGTATGTATACCCCTAAACCTAGCATGTGACTATTGGAGTCTTTACGAATCAAAGGATAGTACCCATCAACACTGACATCTGAAGAAGGAATTGCAGAATTTAAATTTGTTTCACTGAGTCCAAGCAAGTCTGGTGAATTTTGCAGGAGGTAAGACTCAACTGACGGAAAGTTGCTTTGCAGACCGCGAATATTTGTAAAAGAGTATATATATATATATTTATATATATTATATATATATATATATATATATATATATATATATATATATATATATATATATATATATATATATATATATATATATATATATATATAAGTATATAATATCAATATATGAATAGTTATAAAAGCATCAATCAAAGTTAATAAAAATTCTCATAGACAGCAATAGCTTTAAATATTAAGTATATTTGAGTAGTGAGTAAAGTTGTTACACTTGACAAAATTCTACAACCCTCATAATGAAAATAGGTCATGTATTTTCATGTTAATACAACCTTTTTATTAGTCTTACCATACTTGGGCATTTTATTTAACCCTAAATTTCATGGCAATATTTTAAATTTGGCTTCAATATAACAACTTCAAATTTCTCATCCCATAAATATGTTATGAGCCAATTTATATTATTAAAGATTTACTATTTTAACATGACCATAATTGGAGTTTAACCATTTCATAGCTCCAAATGACTACTTAGCTAAAAAAAAAAAAAAAGAGTTAATCACTTATTTTTGGTTTCTACATATAATAATGATTAAAAAAAATCTTATATAAACAGATGTTAATCCCACAGTCTAATATAAAACATTTATTGTTATTTATTGTTATTTCTACTATGGTATAAAATTACTTGTGAATTAGTAACCTTTTATTTACAAGTTCCAAGTCAAATATAGATTTTTGCAAAAACTGCAGCACACACATGATATGTCGACACAGAAGTCCAAATCCAGTTGAAAACCCGCAATTACAAGCATTTTTAAAAACATTATACTCGCTATGGGTGTTTTTGACAAGAAACCTATTTTCCAAATCCTGTATTGACATAAAATTTATATTGCTATATATGTAAATTGCTCTCATCAGTTTACATCAATTAAGTATTATACTAGTAACCTACCTCTTTTACATCATATTCATTTTTTTTCATTAGAAAATATTGTTCAACAATTAAATTCAAACAAAAAGATGACACTTTATCAGAATACTCTTTTAGAGCATCCGGAACATCTTTTCTAGTTTTGAGACGCTGATCAAAATCAGAGTGCAATATTTTTGAGTATATTACTCTATCCAAAGAAATCAACTTTTCTATCAGAATTCCTGGGCTTATTCTAGAAGTAGCAGTAACAGCTTTTAACGATCGGTGATATCTATATAGCAAAACAAATTACACACATTTAATTGAAATATGAACAGTGCAAGTAAAATTTGCAAGTAAATTTATAAAAATATATATTAAAAATACATGCCTTTCTAATCTGTTATTTGTGTGGTTGTCAAGGTGCATTACTCCATTTCGTTGATACCCAAAAAACATCTCCCCAATTGATAACCAGTTTCGTTCCAGATAAGCATAAAAATTGGGAAAAGCATTTTTAACAAAGTTTATTGCATCTTCACATTGTGCTTGGTTACCGTATACCATGCTTTGAATTTTCTTCAAAAAATTTAAATATGCTAACTGTTTTTACACTTATTTCCACACTCCACTTATATATTTATTTCATAATAAATCAAATACCTCATAAATTAAATCTTGCTCGCTTTCAGACACTGGCAACTTCTTAAGTTCCAGAACAAATGCTTTCACTATATGAAAACGACAAAGAAGAATTCTGCTTTTTGGAAAAACAGTTTTTATAGCAGAGATTTCAGCATAATCTTTGTCAATAACAAACGTAGCAGACTTTAGTAGATCACCTGTCCAACACCGAATATCTTCTAGGATCATCTCTAAATGAATCTGGTCTTCTCTATCAACAAGACTATGCATTACTGGCTGACCTATTCCATTGCAGTCCACAATTGCAAGGGTGTACAATGGCATTGCCATATTGTTGACCTAAATATGAACGCCATGTAAGACAATATGTTATAACATAAATTTAAAAATAATGCCATTAAAGCAAAATGAAAAGAACAGAGAGAAAAGCCAAACAAAGTAATAACAGATACTTTGTATGTACCATCCATCATAACAACTTCCGGAAACTTATGCAAAATGCTCTGTTGTTCTGGAGTGGACCAAGTAACAGCCTCAATGTATCCTTCCATATTAGCATGTATGTTATGTTTCGTACCAGTCAAAACATTTCTGATTTCATCAACAGCAGAACCTATAATAACATAAAAATTATTAATTTCAATTTAGTATTGAGTTCTTTTCAAATTAAAATTTATTTACCTCGAAACTTCATTTTCTGCTTTATATTATATATATCTTTCTGCTTTACCATTAATTTTTTATCTAACAAGTAGTTGGCAACAAGAGTTGGATTTGCGCGGTGATGAAGGAGAACCTCAGTTTCTTCAAGAATTTTCTTTGTAGGTTTTCTAGATGTTGAGTAGAGCTGAAATTCTTCAGCACCAATTGGATGGTTATGTTCAAGATTGATATTGCGCACCATATATCCAGGTAATGCAGGATTGTATGCAATATACAATGCCACCTGTATATTAAACAAATGTATATTAAAATAGGCCATTAATAATCAATAATTACTGGATAGTTAAAAATATCTTTCATTACAATTTTTTTTTATTTTTATTTTGATTGAAATGTTAGCAAAGTGGAATTTGGAATTGAATTAATGGAATTAATTCAATTCCAATTATGGAATTGAATTAATTCAATTATGGAATTGAATTAATATTCATTATTATATGTAAAACCATACTTGACAGCCACAAGGAAGTACTGATTGATGATTTCTTTTTCCAGTCACACCATCTCTTTTTCTAGGTTGACCAAAATGTTTACAAACCCACCTAAATAACAAAATCAATTTAAAAAAATTATTACAATCATGATCACCACCAACATAATCACTAACAACAGCATCAACGATAACATAATCATCAGCACTTCAAATACCTGTATTTGTCAACCATACAGGAACAACAAAAGAGATAGCAGACTTGTGCCATCACCGTCATTGTTTTATCGTCCTTGTTTCTGCCCTTGCACAGGGTTGTCCAAATGTCACAAAACAAAAAAGTAACAAAGTTAAAAGACAAATTTGGTTTATTTACCTGTTGACTTTTATTAAATATTATTTACAAAAATCTTATTAATTATAGTATTCATAAAATCATAGGTAGAGAAAGCAATAATAATAATAAAAATCAACTTCAATGTTATTTTAAATAAATAATTTGGCTTTCATATATACAAAATAGGTTAACTGAATCCAAAAAGCCATCCAAATAATACGATCTAAATAGAGAACATTTTTAAATAACAGTTTGTATACACAATTAAATAATAATTGAATAATTTGTAATATAACTTTTGGTAGACCTTAAAAGCACATTAGAAACAATTTACAAAAATATTCTTATTAACAATTTATTAGCGGCAAAATTATTGAAATCACTTTATAAGTATAAAAAATTTTTTTGTTGACAAAATGTCAACAATGTCAAATTTGAATTAATCAGTTAGTTAAACATTAACAAATACTACACAAACGGTTAAAAAACCAATAGTTCATTGTACTTATTGACTTATCACTTTTGTCTTTTAATTTAATATTTTTCTATACACATTTACTATTATCTGATGTATTAGTAATATTTCATAATACTTTCCACATGGTTTTACTATCACCTTTCACCACATCCACTTTATTCTTTTAAAAAATTTTTTAATTTTCTTATTAAGGAAATTTTTAAGTTTCTGCATTTTTTGTAATTCCGTATTGTGTTTGACACATAGTGTTACCTTCTTTCTTCATTATTAAGAATTTTCTTTATTCATAGTTAACTTGTTTTGATATGTTGATAATACTAGGATTATTTAACCAGTTAGAGTATGGTATTCTATTGTTTATTATCATTTTTGTTTTAATTTCAATTTTGACTTTCTCTTGAATGTTATAAATCATTATATTTGCCATTTTGTTACTATTTAGTTACTTATATCTTTATCACTTATTTTGATTTTATTTCTAATCATAATTTTCTTGTTTAGTTTATTGTAATTCATGTTTTCATACAGTTTAATAGTTTTATATTTTACTAACACATTGTCATATTTCTTAACTTTAATATCAAATTTATGTTTGACACTTACTACCTCATGATCTGACATTTTTGGCTGTACAGAATTGTCACTTTCTATATCATATTTAGTTTGAAAATAATTTGATCAACACAGGTACTTGTATGTTCAGTAATTCTTATGGGTACACAAGAGCTGGTATACTATGACTGTTTATGATCTTTAGACTAAGATTCTTGTTAACTATTTCGCATTTTTTTAAGAAGTTATTTTTTTTAGAATGTCAATGTTGAAATCTCCCATAACAATAACTTTTTTGTACTTACTGCTTACATCACTTATATATGATCCATAGAAATTAATAAATACATTTATCAAGTTTTGATGAGGAGACCTATATACATATATCACACAAATAGACCTGTTAACATATTTCATTATTGTTTTTATTAACCACTATTTTGTGTCTTTGATATCTACTTCAGAATTCATCATTTTTATATCATCTCCAATCTTTTATATCATTTTTATACATCTACTTGTATGAACACTGGATGATAATACGCTTATTTCATTATATCCATTTATTTTAAATTCTTTATTGTAGTGATCCTTTTTTAAGTGTTAATAAATCTTTGTTTCAACTACAACAAATATTTCAGGTTTAAAATCCCTAACAAATTGTTCCACCTCTGTTATTTTGTTCACTGAACCATTTATAATTACTAAAACACATTTAAATGTTCTATTAGTTTTTGGTTGCTATCTGATTCATATTTTAATCCTTGCTTTCACCACCATAAACAATGGACAGTTACGGTCATTAGCATAATCATTATATCGAAACTGAGGATCATATCAAATCTGAGGATGGTATTTTTATTTGTTGTTAATGACAAAATGTAAATTCCAATTAATCAGTTAGTTAAACATTAACAAATACTACGCAAACGGTTAAAAAACCAATAATAAGTCAAGAATTATTAGAAAACAAAAAATTAAAGAGCAAGGAAATGGTTGACAGAGGACTCAAATTAAAAACTGTACATTGTTTGAGTCAGGAAAACATAAAGATGGGAACAAATAGAGTTCCAAAGAGGAGGAAAAACCTAGATACAAATTTTTTTATAAAATGCAGAAACAAATACAGTAAAAAGATGAGACTTTAGTAAATGATGAGTCAAGCAAAGTTTTGTTTAATGGAACTAGAGATAATATCTCCTTTGGGCAACGACTATGGACTTTAATGTTTTAGAAATGTCGTAAAAAAATACACAAGAATTATAATAAATGCAATTGGTTATTTCATTAAGTAAACTTTTCAATTTTTTTAAATTACATTACTGTGAAAAACTATAATAATTTTTAGATGTTTATTCTTTATTATATATTATTATTTGTATAATTATCTGTATTATTATCTGTATTAATATCTATATTATTAAAATTTAAAAAAATGCCCTGCCAATTTAAATAAATATAAAGTACAGTCCTTCTAGAAAAATTTAATAAACAGAGTAGGCAAATGTTGTAACTTATTCTTTTATTCAGTACTATTGTTAATAAATTAGTTCAGAGATTTTTGCTGTGAATCAATAAATTTAAGGCAATAGACAAAAATTTATATTTCGTAAACATTAAAAAACTGTATTAAATAATAAAATCTATTCATATTTAACTTAATGGTTTTCTTGACTGGCATTATATCGTTAAAATCAATCTAAAAAAAAAACAAGAGAAAAAAAGAAAACCTGCATGCGAATATCTCTTCTGTTGTGACAATAGCTTTATCAGCAATTAACTTTTTATTGTGACTAGCAACAGTTTCTTTACTATCTATCCTTATTGGACGATAATTTGTTAAAGCGAACTTATTGACTGCATTTATACAACTTTGAAAATCAGGGAAAGTATCTCCTAACTTTAGGCTTGCGGCCATTTTTAAAAAGCAAGTATTAACAAATAATTTTGCCATGGAAATTTCTTTATTTTCAGTTAAAATACGCGCGTGTCACATGTCTAAAATAAGGTAATATGATTGGTTCACTGGTATTAGCAATTTTCACCGGTTTATTACCAGTGTATATGCACTGGTAATAGCACTTTGCATTTATTCAGGTAAATGTATTAGTTTAGTAAACTGCTATTAATAAGGTCCTTCAAAATAATAAAACAGAAAAACAAAAACAAAAAATGTATAATGCGAGAAATAGATAAAAGATGTTGGCTACTGGACTAAAATAAATATTAAAAAACAAGAGTTAATTATTAAAGAGTTTTATAAAATTTTATGCTTATTTAGAATAATCAAAAAAGTACATTACTATCGACAAACTGGAGATGGCTTATCATTAAATATTTGTAAAACCGTACACTGAAGGCTTTTTCTTTGGAATTCCAGAAAAAATATATTAGGCAACAATTTTGTCAAATATTTAATTGTATTTTTTTCCCTCTGTGCTTTGTGACAAGATCGTTTTCTTGGAAAAAATGGTTACCATATTAGGCAATGATAAATTACTAATGTAAAATTATTGATTGTATAAATTGTTATTGATTGATAAGCAAAAAACGGGGTAAGATGGCATTCTATATAACAGCTCAACAAGAAAATTTAAAAAATGGGTGGAAACAAAACTGTATATAAAGTTTGTATTTTAAAATATTAATTGGTTTTTTCAAACATTGCTAACGTGATTTTAAATGAACAGATAACTTATAATAAGAATTAAAAGTTTTACGATAATATAGTATAATTTATTTATGAACACATATAAAATGTAAAACAAAAAAAGAGTTTATCAAAAATGAAAAAACTATAATAATACTTTAAAATAGTAAAATATCAAAAAATAAATAAAAGAATTCATACTTAAAAAATTTATATAAACTCAGAATTCAAAAAAATTCAAAAATTCTAAATGATAAGAATTTTAAAAAATTATCTAAACTAAATATTTTTTTGACAGTTGAAATAAAACTATTATTAACAAGATTGTTATTGTTTTACATGTCACAATTCGTTATTATTACTTTTATTAATTAAATAATAATTTAATATAATAGGAATTAATTTTTAGTGCTTAAATTCTACACACAAAATATAAAATATACTATATTATTTTCCAGGAATGATCCTCTTCCATAAATTGGATTCTCTAATAATTATTGAAGATTTTGTTGAATCATAATATGATACATTGTTTTTGGTTGAACATAGTTGTTATTCAAATATGTTCAACCAATATGAAAAAATATATAATTTATTAATTAACGACTTCTAATAAAAAGAATTTTCTAAATATCAAAGCTTTATTTAATGAAGAGAAAAAATTAACGGATCGTGTTTGCTGTCAGAAAGCAATATAAAAAAGAGCAGGAAAAAGATTTTAAAATGTCTGACAATTTAAGCTAACTTACATTGCTGTAGATTTTTTTTTTCTATTTCATTTATAATTGGATTTCATATAAAACTTTTTTTGGTTTTTGTTTGAAGGCTTTGTAAAAATGTTAGATTAAGAAGCAATTGACACTTTATTACATAATTTATCAGATTGTGGGGTGTATTAAATGAACAAATAAGTTCAAAATAAAAAAACAAATAAGTTCAAAATTTTTTACGTGTATTTTTATTATTATTATTTTATTTTTTATTTTTTTTGAATTTTTTACATATTTTTAAAAAGTTTTTTTTATCCAAAAAATTATATTAACAAATGCATGTATACAAACAAATGTTTATTGTTAGTATATACAAAAATATAAAAAATAAGAAAATATAAAAGAATACAAAACAAATAAGTTACAAGTTTTGAGAAATTTTTTTTGTACTTTATGTGAATACAGCATGTGTATGTGAATAAAGTTATAAAGAAATAATAAAATAATAATAATATTTTGCTTTTTAAGTTTTGTAACTGATATGTGACTATCTATATGCATTTAATAAATATACATATAAAAACAAGTCGTTAGACTTGCATATATATATTTTTGCTACACGTAGCTCACGCTAAACATCCTGTAAGAATATAGTGTGGCAAGCATTCATTTTTAGTGTGGTTTTGATTGGTATAAGCAGTATAACTATACATGGACCGCACCAATGCTATCCCTTTGAGAGGGGTAAATATATGGGTGACATATGCTTCCCACATGTGGTCGTCAGCCCGTTTATTCGTTCAGTTCTTCTAGAGCTTTAGGGATGGGGTGCATTTAATAATAGGGAAAAATTAGTTGCCCGCTTTCTGTTAGTACATGTGTACAATCTTTTTTTTCCTTAAGTGTCCGGGGCTACCCGACTTTCCACTAATAATAATAATAATAATAATAATAAAATATTCAATCAAATTATAAAAGATTTAATTATAACAATGATTCGATAAATTTTTAACGATGATGTTACATATGAAATGTTCTTTTTTTTTTATTTGAAAGTTTTTATTTATATATTTAAAAACATTCTTTTATTTATTTTGTTTCAAAAACTTTTTTTTTAATGTATCGCGGGGTTAGAGTTAAATTTTTTAATATAAACATTTTTTTTTTTTTTTGATTTTATAAATAATTTTGAATTTATAAATAATATTAAAAATTTTTTTTTTGATTTTATAAATATATTGATTTTATAAATAAATACTTCTTGTATTCTCTAATTTCAAAATTTTGCAAAGCTACATCAGATTGCAAATTTTGTTACAAGTTAAATAATTTTATTAATTCATAACAATTATACACGATATATAATCAATGTCTTTTCATTTTCTTCAATCAAATTTCATTTGTACAGTTATTTCTTCAATCAAATTTCATTTGCACAGTTATTTCTTCAGTTTCTTCTTTTTCTAGACAAGTAATAACTTTTACGTTACTCTTTTATAAATTAACAAGTTATTCAAATTATTTATCATTAATTAATTAATTATCAATATATATCATCATAATAACTAATTATCAAATCAAACAAATTATTCAAAAAATTGATTAAATTAAAAGACGATTTAATAATGAAATGTTTTTTTTAATATTTAGCATAAATTCGTGTTAAATTTTTAAAAACTTGTTTAAAATCAACTTTTTACATAACATTTATATTTATATTATATTTGTAAAACAAATGTGAAATATAAAGATATTATTTTATAAAAATTTTTAAAAAACAAACCTCCATTCTCTAATACTTTGGATGTTGGCAGTCCAATAAAGCGATGAACACCTAGCAAATGTAAATTTCCTGCGTAGTTTGAATAGCTCGATTCGTAAATAGGACCACTTTGTTTGTTTTCTTCATCTTCCAAAATTATTATTGGATTAAATAAAACTTGAACGTTTTGTGGCAAAGAAGGTTCAACTTCTCTAAAAACAAAGTTTTAAAGATTTTCAAAATTTTTAAAAATTTGAAGCAAATAGTTAAAAAGTTCTTAGTTATTCTGGTTGGCTTATTTATTGTTGGAATAATTTTATGCTGAAGACTTATGTTTAACTTTATTTGAAGCTTGTCTTAACATTTCCAAATTAGTATCGCCAACAACGTAAACTTCCGTTCTTTATTGACTTTAGAAAAAAAATGTTTTTTTTACTTTTTTAAGCTACCCGATGGTTTTGTTTAAATAACATTAGGGGTCGTCCACAAAATACGTTTGATTTTATTTCAACTTTCCTCACCCCCCTCCCCACCCTCCTTCAAACTTTCCCCCCATTGACCTGTATTTCGCTATACGCTTTTATAAGAACTCGCCACCTCCCTAAAAGTACCTACGCTTTTAACCTACCTAACCGATGTTTTTTTCGTTTAGTGTTTTCTTACTTTTATAATTGACCCTTTGCCCCCCATCTCGTATACGGCATTTACAGACCCCCTCTCTCCATCCAAGCGTACGTACTTTATGGACGATTCCTTAACGATTATGCTTTTTGTGGTTTTATCAAAAAGTTAAACGCACTTTGACTCACATTCTGTTTCATTAACGCATAGATCATTACGAGCAAATAATTCAATGAAATGTGAACAAAAAAACTAACGCCTCTGCCATTAGGCGGTTGTTGTAATGGCGTGTAACTAATTAAATTAAAATGTGAACTATAATAAAATATTTTGACTTTGTCAGTCATTTATTACTTAAAAAACACACATTGTAAAATATTTCCTGCTCCCACTCACACAAAAATATTTTTTACAATATATAATTTATAAAATTTTGTCAAGGAAAGAGAATCCAGCAAGATGTATCCCTTATATAACTCAGTTTGAGAGGCATTGGTATACTTCATCCCTGTTCTGAAATACAACTAGAAGACTACTCAACTGAGGCAGGACTTGAAGGTACTGGAGAATTTGTTTACAAACAAAATATTGAAGATTGTATTCGTGAAAATTTGTTAAGAAAAGCCTATTCTTAATTTGCTTTGTACCACTTCAAATATTTTGTAGTTGCTACAGCTGAATATCTTTTGATTAGTTAGAAGCAATCATTAATTTTTTACTGGAGTAGGTCTGTATGATTTAGTATATTATATCTTAAAGAAAACAAAGAAGTTCTTATTCAGGAGCTGTGTTATTTTTGTATAACAGCGGTGGAGTAGTGGTTAGAGTTTTGGTGCGGCCGTGACGCAGTGGTTAGAGTGCTTGCTTTATAAGCAGGAGATCCAGGTTTGAAACAGGCTCTGGACATATTTTTGCGTCACGGTAAGGAAAGAGGTGAACTTCCTGTTTAAATGCACTTCCGCGGTGCTCTGTGACAAGACCATTAGGTCTTCTTGGGGCACCTAAAACTAAAAAAAAAAAGTTTTGGATTCAGAAATTCGAAGCCGGTTCTGGCCATATATGCATCATAGGTAAGAGAGAAGCCGTAAGGTTCCTTGTTAAATGCTATTCCGTGGTGCTCTGTGATAAGGCTGTAAAGACTTCGTAAATCATCTATATAACTTTAAAAAAAGCTGTACCATATCAATAATCAAGAGCTTAATCACACTCAAGTTGAGAATATTTTTATTGGACATCAACTGAATTAACTAGAGATACCATAGATATCAACCAGAGATACCATTACAAAATCTTCATTTAATACTGCATTATAAATATGTTCAACTTATAGTGTTGTTTTAAATTCGTCTGTGCTTAAAAAATTGTACTAGACTAATTCTAATGTACAAAACTGGTTTTGATGGTGCAACAGAGCAATCTGTTTATAAGCGAGTGAACTTAATACTGATGAATCGCATTTTATAACTTGCTTAGTTCCCCTAGAATTACATTGTTTCAAAGATGACATAAAATAGACTGTTTGGAGAAATCCGACACCATTTTGACTAGTTTCTGCAGACCTCTCAAACTTATATATAGAAAATAATCAAAGAAAGTAGTTCTCGCAGAATATAAATCAATTATGACTTCTATTAAAAATATAACATTATCCGTTGTATCTGTTCAATTGGAGAACGGTACATTGAAGGCAGTTGAAGTGCGAAATTATGTATAACAATGATAAGTTTAACAATGATAGAAGAAAAAATTCAAATATTTATTTTCACAGCAGCTAACTCATACGAATGCTGTTCATTGTGTGATGCATCTCCAATAAAAATCCATCTTTAGTAGTTAAAAAAAGACATTTGAAGGCAAACCTTGCTTTTCAACTTTGCATGATTGGATTAGGTTTTTAAAATGTATGCTTCATATATCATACAAGATGCCAATTATAAAGTGGCAGGCTAAGACTGAAAACAAAAACATTGATTTTAAAGCTAAAATAGATTGAAGTCCGAGCTAAATTTCAAAAAAAGGTTTTGCCATTGGTAAACGATGGTAACATAGCTGGACAATTTTTTCAGCAGTATAATCAGTTAATATATTAAACATAAATGTCGATCTTACGAAAAGGCTTCATATAATTCTGAACACAATGCCATGTAGATATGACATTGACTAAGCAAAATTTAGAACATTCTGTTGGGAAACTCTCTATGCATGCCTGTATCCTTGGTATCCTATGACCCAATTAATTCTTAAGACTTTAATTCATGGTTATAAAGTAATAACTTTTTATTTAGTCTTCCAATAGGTCTGTTTTCTAAAGAGGCTCAAGAGGCTGCAAATAAAAACTTTTCTTTTGTGAAGAAAATGCAATCAAAAGAAAAATAATTTAGACTTTTTTCATCGTCTTTTATGTGCATCAGATCCTTTAATTTGCACATTTAAAAAGAAGACACATAACAACAAAAATCTACCGTCTGGTGTCATTGAACTATTGTAAGAACCAACAACAGAATACAGTAAAATGTAAATTTAAATAATAGTAAATTTAAAATATAATTTTAAAAAATTCAAATAAATATCCTTGTTATTTAATTGGGTGATAACGGATTTTATGGAAAAAAATTGAGTTTTTAAATATTTTGCGTAATTATTTAATACAATTTTTTTGTTTTTTTAAAACAAAAGTTGTCTTTTTGCAGGTTGTATCTTTTTAAAAAAGTTGGTATTTAACTGGTGTTAAATGTAAAATACTTCTATACAAAAAGCATTATTATTATAAAAAAATAGTTATTTTATTTAAAAAAGTAAGCATTTTTAGACAGTATAGGCAATTGTTAAACTCCTTCTCTATCCCCCCCCCCCGGAATTTTTTGTGCTATAAGGTGAATATATACTTCAAGCCCAATTTTTTGATGCCAAATTTTTAGTTAAATGCCGAGTGAAAGTAAAAAAAGATAATAACAGATTCTCCTCTTTTTAGAAAGCCACCATATTTTTATTAGCATTCAATGATTTATTTAAAAGTATTTATTTTAACAATTTTGAACAGTTATCAAACCACAAACCTAGCCATTATAATGTACATCTCAAAAGAGGTGACATTACTACATTTCCACAAAAACAGTAATATTTACACCAAAACTAATCAACAAAAATTTTACCTTTCCAAGTACATTTTTTACAAAAAACCTTAAAATTTTGTGACCAAAACTTTAGTGTTTTTTTTGTTTTCAGACTCCAATCATCGCAATTTCTTTTTAAGCCACTCTTATTAGATATAAGTATGAACATGTAAATGTTTGGTGTTTGCTCCACGACAGGAAGTTAGTTATCTCAAACACACAAAAAATCCGCCCCTCTATATATATTTATAAAATTAGGATTTTTGTTATTATTTTTTTGTGTTCTATTTCATGAGAAAGGTGGTCATCTTATTATATATTCTGCATCTTATTTTTATTAAAACAATCTGAACATTGTTTTAATTTTGTATGATCTACTTACTACTATAATATTAGTAACATATTTAAAAATAATTAGTTTTAATAAACAATAATATTAATGAATTTTTTGGGAATTTTTAAAACATTGAAGTTGAATCTAACTTGCTTAATTTTTATTAGATATCTTTATAAATATATACAGAGATATATATTTAATTAATTTAAACAAAGTATTATAATTTATACGTAATCATAGATGCAGCGCCATATTCTATATGCTATCATGCATACAGCGGCATATTTATACGTATTAATAATGAATATGAATTTAAGGAATAGTGTATAAACTTATAGTTGTTTGATAGTTTTAATAATTGATTAAATATTATCACATTTTTAGCTGAATGATCTTGTTTGATAATTTGCGATTTTCCAAGAGTTTTGTTTCTTAAGTCTAAAAGAAGTTAAAAATTCTAGTCAAATATAGACAATTTAGACAACATTGAAAAACCAAGTTAGTTATAAAACTAATAACTAAAATATTTCCTTCCCTACAGCTTAGGAGCCTCGTTTATTTTAGTAAAGAATTAGTTTAGTGTCTAGCAGCACTATTGAAAGAAAGGTTGTTGATATTATACACGCTAAGCTATGGGTTTTTTTTTTACATTTAACCTAGAGTATCCTTAGTTCAAAATCATTTTGGTTAATGTTGGCAGTTTATATTAAAAAAAGTTCATCTTTTATTGATAAAGGCAGGTCAACTATTGAAATCATTTACTTTATATGAGCCATAAAGACATTTTTAAAAAACGTTTTTAATGAGTAGAACATAAACAGGAACATATTTTTATGTACTGTTTTTTTGTTTGAAACTACCCTGAAACAAACTGAAACGGTGTAATTTAAATCCAAAACAATGTAAATTGACAATAAAAAGGTGTGCAGCATGAAATACACTAAAATGGTGTAAATTAACACCAAAACGGTGTAATTTAACACTAAAAAGGTATGCAGCATGAAATACACTAAAACGGTGTAATTTAACACCGTTTCGGTGTTTTTCATGCTGCACACCTTTTTAGTGTAATTTAACTTATAATTAAGAGTGTAGGTTTGTTCTTCAACAATATTCAATAATAATTCATTTGAACTAAAATGATACAAGGAATCTTATGAGGATAAAATGACACAAGGAAACTTATTAGGATAAAAAATATGCGTCATTTATACACTAAAAAAATACCAAAATGAGAATAAAAAACAAATAATTTGCTATAAATACATTTAATTATTATAAGATTTTAGTTCAAATGAATTTTATATGTATTTATTATCTTATTCCATAAATTAGGTCCTCTAATAGTTATTGAAGATTTTGTTGAATCATAATAAGATACATTATTTTTGGTTGAACATAGTTGTTATTCAAACATTTGGTATGGCAAGATGCTGAATTGTATTAAACAAAGGTTTAAATATTTAAACTTATTTCTCTCACTTTTCAAAACAATTGTCTAAAAAATTGATAATAAAACACATTGGTTGTACTTTTATTAACTATTTATCAACTTTTATTAATTTCATTTACTAAAAAGTTGGTATATGTTCATATAGTATATATACGTTTAATCAGTTTTAGAAGTTCAATGTTTACCGTTTTAAACAAAGCTCACCATTAGGAAATAAGGTAGAATATTTAGAGAATTGCTTAAATCATTTTAAAATAAGTGGTCCTGATAAAGATCCTTGACAAATGTCATAAGCAGTTTTCATATTGTTACTTTTTTTACAGCTGAATGAAACATACTGTTTTCTATTAAATTAGTAGATTTTAAACTAAAAAATGTTTGTTTTTTTGGTTCTGTAGCTTTTAAATTTTTTTAGTAAAATACTATGATCAACTGTATAAAACGCTTTGATAAGTGTGTGTGTGTGTGTGTGTGTGTGCGTGTGTTTGTGTGTGTGATTATTATTTTATTATAAATAAATAAAAAAATAAAAAAAAAAATATATATATATATATATATATATATATATATATATATATATATATATATATATATATATGTTTTCTTCATTACTTTTGTACTAATACTCATTGATTTATGACCCAGGAACATGGTGTCACAAAGAAAGACATATTCCTAATATATATATATATATATATATATATATATATATATATATATATATATATATATATATATATATATATATATACATATATATATTTATATATATATATATATATATATATATATATATATATATATATATATATATATATATATATATTTAGTAAAAACACTTCACTAATTTTTGTGCTCTTCTTTTTAGATAATTATAATTAATAATTGAATAATTAGATAAGTGTTTTTACTAAACTATTATTGCTCTGTTTTTTAAGAACATTGAGCACTCTATTTGTAGAATACACTAACATAGTTTACATATATATATATATAGTTATATATATATATATATATATATATATATATATATATATATATATATATATATATATATATATATATATATATATATATATATATATATATATATATATATATATATATATATATATATATATATATATATATATATATATATATATATGAAAAAGAATTAATCAATAAACAAAATAAATCAAAACATTAGTTACAACTAGGACTGTTTAAACTATTTTTTTATAGAATATAGAAATTTGTTTTGTTTTTTATTTGCTTGTCTCTCCATTGACTACTCTTTAACCACAATAACTACAAATACCTATATTACATCCATACATATATTATGTATGTATGTATTAATAAAAACACTCCTGCTTGCCTGTCAAAGACAAAATTAGATGTGTTTTTGCTAATTTATTATTACTCTGTTATAGCACTCTATTTTTAAAATACACTAACATATCTTACATATATATATATATATATATATATATATATATATATATATATATATATATATATATATATATATATATATATATATATATATATATATATATATATATATATATATATGTATATATATATATATGTATATATATATATATATATATATATATATATATATATATATATATATATATATATATATATATATATATATATATATATATATATATAATATGTAAGTTGATTTTTAAAAAAAGGCAGCGTTAAAATATATTATTGAACATACGAATAAACAAAACAAATATTTCGACGTTTTAAAAAAGGTAAAAATGTGTATAGTCATTTACCTTTCAATGGCTTAATACAGTGGACCACGATATTTTACAATCAAAATTAAAAAATTTTAGTACCAAAGGCCTTATGTAAAAGTAAAAAAAATTACTAGAGTAATAGAAAGCAGCATAACATTAATAAGGAGAAAATTATTTTGGATGTTAAGTGTGAGATTCCTTAGGAATAAATCTTAAATTGGAAAGGCCACATAAACATGATAAAAAACAAAGTTTCTAAAAATATTGGATTACTCTATAAAGCGAAGCCATACTTAGATCAATCATGTTTGAAATACATATATTACTCATTTATTCATTCCTATCTTAATTATGCAAACATTATTTGGTGCAGCACCAACGAAACAAAGACAAAAAATCTATTTAACAAACAAAAACATGCAATTAGATTATTATCAAATGCACACCGCCTCTCGCATTCTAGATCGTTGTTCAACAATCTAGAAATATTAAATTTGTACCAAATAAATATATATCATCTGCTAATTTTTATGTATAAAACTAATAATACAATACCAAATATCTTCAAACCATTATTTAATAAAATTCAACTCAAATATATGACTAAATATTTAAATAACAACTTTGTTTAACCCAAACTATATATGAGTTCACCAAATACTCAATAACTATTAGAGGACCTAATATATGGAATAAGATAATAAGTAATGATATTAAAACACTTACAACTCTTGAACAAAAGCTAAACTGTTACTTTTAAATAATGAACAGAGAATAATTTTTAAATCTATCTATAGAAATATTATATTTGAAAATTATCTATTAGTGCATACTTTGTTTGTCTAAAAAGGTCTAAAGTTACTTATATACGTTATAGTTAATTATATTATAAAGTAATTATATAGATTTACAGCATAAACAGATTTTTAACAGCGATAATTTAGATTTATTCCTTTTCTTAAATGAGAGAGTGAAGGAAAAAATAATAATTTACTTTAAGTTTGAATTTTTCTTATTTTTGAAATTAAAATATATGTATATTTATCAAAACACTTAATTATGAGCCAAGGGCCATCATTATGGAATCAATTGAAAAGAAGGTTTCTCTTTTGAACAACAAATAAAATTGCATCTTAATTTCCTGATTTCTTAACGTAATGTTTTTCTCAAAAAAAATATTTTATTGTAAATTTGCTAAAGCCATGGGACTTTAAATGTTATTGTTAAAGGGTCTCTATGAAAAGATTGTGGTGATACTAGTCATTTGCATCTTCTTTGAGCCCCTGTCTGTTTTTATATAGTGTATAAAAACAGAATAGTTAATGCCTAGTTAAAGCACATTTTCATTTTGAACTTGTGTAACGAAAGTTAAGACTTCTTGCATTTACTAAGTTTTAGTTGCTTACAAAATGTATTACGTCATTACGTAATTACGTAATTCTTATCTAGATAATATTTTTGCTTTTGTAAAACAAATTGTTTGTAAATAAAATTAAAGGGGTCATCCAGTGACAGATCCAGGAACTTTTGGTGGTGGTGGTGGAATATTGAAACAGCTTAGTATTTTGTATCACATTTGTGACTCCTACAAAAAAAAAGGTCCTCTATTTCTAAGATTTTTTAGGACTTTCAAATTCTGGTGGTGGTGGTGGTGGTGGTGGTGGTGGGGGGAATGCATACCCCATACCCTCTGAATCCGTTACTGGGGTCATCCATAAAGTACGTCATCCTATATTTGTCAATTTTTAATCCCTTCCCTCCTGTCACAAACGATCACATATACATGAACCCTTCTAAACTGTGATATATATATATATATATATATATATATATATATATATATATATATATATATATATATATATATATATATATATACATATATATATATATATATAATACGATAAACTTATATATATATATATATATATATATATATATATATATAATATGTCTGAAGAGAAATTTTGAAAAGAAAAAAAAGGACTTACTTTTTTGAACAAAAACGTTTCTTTATTATAACGGCTAATGTTAAACTGACAATAAAACACACCAAACCAGTTATTCCCACTGCAAGTTTTCCAATCCAAGAAGAACCAATAAAAGCTTTAAACAAAAAACAAAAAAATTCTAAAAATTTACAATTAAAACGATTCGTTTAATTTAAAAACCATATTTTTTATATTCACAGTGATAAAAAAAAAGAAAAAAAAACTTTAATAAAAAATATTTAATTTTCAAACAATTTTAGTTCATAAACTATTGTTTATCTCAGTTAACAGAGATTTAACTATCTCAGTATTAAAATATACTAAAAGCAAAAAAATTACCAAACATACCAATAGAAAATGCGAACCCTGGTATAAAAACGAACAGCAATAATACTAAAAACTTTATTTCCATAAAAAGGGAATCATTGGTTTTTCCAAGATCAACCGCAAAACGCCAAAACTCATTTTCCAAATTTTCCAATATTTATTCTCCAAGCTTCAAAAATATTAATTAATTTTTATTTTCAAATATTTCAGTTTTAAACATTGTTATTTAGTTTTGATTCCTTTTGAAAACAACAAGTAATAATTAATCAACTTATAAAAAATATTTTTCTGGTGAATTACCCCCCACTATTTATATCAATAAATTCTCATTAAATAACCATCAGCTAAGTATTCATGTTTATATTCAATCTAAAAGTGTAAATACAATTTTGATGTATTAGAGAAAATTACAATTCAAAAGTTATGATATTTTTGGCTGCCTATAGTATCATGCAGAATACGCAAAACAAAGTTCACAAAAAAAAGGTTTTAAAAAATCTTTTTCTTCCTTTCAGGGTTTATTAGGTATTTGTTTGCAACAGTGTAATAGATTGTTTTTTTGTTGTTTTTTTTCGGTTGTTAAGGTGTTCCAAGTAGTCCTAACGATCTTTTCACAGAGTAAAAGATCATTTAATTAGAAAGCTTACGCCACTTTCCTTACCAATGTTACAAATGTTATTCGAGCTGACAGAATTTCTTACCTGTTGATTCTGAGGCAAACATTCTAATAATGGCTTAACCCTCTATTCAAATTATGTTACAAAACTGTCAGTCATTGCATGCCGTTTAATTTTTGTTATTTTTAATTTTTTTTACGTGAAATGTTTATTTTTAAAAAGAAGATAAGTTAAGTGCACTAACAATTTAAGAATGTTGAGCATTTTAACTCAAATCTTTTTAGCATGACCAATCACTGCTCGTTGACTCTTTTTTCCCAATGTTCCCATTTGGCAACACAAACTTTAAATTCAAAAATCAAGCCCTGTTTTATCTTTTTTTTAATTTTAAATAATGATTAAGTTTTGCTACTTCCTATTAGATGGCAACATGTCCAATTTAAAAATGAACGCGCCGATTCGCAATTGTTTTTTGAAAATATGTCTCTTTTTTTGTAATAAACAACATGGTTTTGTCCCGAATAAATCATGTAAAACAAACCTTCTGGAAGCTATGGAAACAATAGCAAAAAAAAATACCACTACATATCGTATTTCTCGACTTTTGACGTGCATTTAATTTAGTATAGCATGGATTTGCTCATTTTAAACAAATCGACGACAACGAATTGCTCTAGGCGACACAACATCAGGATGGGCACAAGTATCTAGAGGTGTTGTCCAAGGATCCGTGCTAGGACCGATTCTATTTGCCATTTTCATTAGCGACCTCCTAGACAACATTAACTCTTGCTGCAAAATGTTTGCGGATGACACAAAATTAATAGCACTAATCTGGCCAGGAAACGTAGAGCTTGACACTAAAAGTATTACCATTTACACTTTACCCCAAACGGACGTGTTTTAATTGCAAAATAAAAATGGGGAAAAATTTTTCGACTTAAAAGAAATATTAGACATTCACGAGAACACAACTATTAAAATATTTAATGAAAAAATTGAAAAATTGGAAAAATATATCGATAAGTTGAATGATGATAATAAAATTCTTAAAACTGAAGTAAGCGAATTGAAAAAAGCTGTCGAATTTATTAGCGAAAAATACGACAAAGTAATAATTGAAAAAGAGGGATCGAAGGCTGATAGCGCAAAACCAGATAGAAACCTAGAAAATAGTTTAACCGTTAATATGAGAGACAAATTGGCTGAGATCGAAGACCGAAATAGGAAAAATAATTTAAGGATATCCGGTATAGAAGTTGATGAAAGTTTGTGTTTGTGAAAGTAAAGTTCGTGAATTAATAAAATCAAAACTTGATCTTCAAGGTGAATTCATTATTGAACGTGTTAATAGAGTTAGAAAAAATGATAGAAATGATACAATCAAAAAATGCAGAACTGCCGTGGTAAAATTTTTAAACTATAAGGACAAATCAGCAGTGCTCGGTAAATATATAAAGAAGAAACTCTGGAACCGAAAAATATATGTGAACAAAGATTTCAGCGAAAAGACAACCGAATCGCGAAAAAAATTGTTTACGGCTGCAAAAGATTTACGATTAAAAGGTAAATATGCAAAGGTTGTATATAACAAGTTAATAACGCGCGATTAAAGAAAATTCTTTTATTTTATGGTTTTATAAAATGGTAAAATGGGCTCTAATAATTCTAACGACTTTGACAATATTATAACAACTGATGTTTTCAATAAATCTCTAAAAAAAGGCATCATTAAAAGTGACATCTCGTACCACTTCCCTATTTTTTTCTCTATTAATATCGACAGATATAATATCTCAACAAAAACAAACTTTAAAAAACGATTTTTTTCTACTGCTAATTTAAAAACATTTAAAGAAAATTATCTTTTATCTTCATTGGAAATCAATAAATACCTGTTCTGACGCAAATTTTATTAATAACACGTTTTTTAAAACGTTTTATGAAATATATGATGCTAATTTTCCAAAACATACAGTAAATAAAAAAACTAAAAGTTTAATGTCACCATGGATCACAAAAGAACTAAGAAAGTCCTCTAAATGTTCTCTTTAAAAACCGCGTTAAAGAATTTGAAGTAAAAAAATTACTACTCTAATTTGATTGAGAGAAATAATTTTAATTCGAAACGTACGAGGGAAGTTCTAAGAAAACTCACTGGCATGCAGAAATTAAAACGAGCAGATTGCCAAAAGCATTAAATTTAACGAAGAAACATCATATGATCAAATTGTAATAGCTGACAAATTAAATAAATATTTCGTATCAGTTGGTCCTAATCTGGCCCAAAAATTCCTATATTGAAAAACAAAATGAATAATTATGCTTTTCCAATAACTTCGTTCTTAAATTCTCTTGAGCTATCCTTTGAGGAATTTGAACTTTCTTTTAAAAAGCTTAAATCTAATAAATCAGTTGGTCATGATGATATTTATTGCAATGTTATTATCAACTTGTATGAAGTCATTAAAGATTGTATTTCAAATTTTACAATGTTCAATAAAACAGGGTATTTTTCCCATATATATATATATATATATATATATATATATATATATATATATATATATATATATATATATATATATATATATATATATATATATATATATATATATATATATATATATATATATATATATATTAGACTGCTTCATTTTGAGGTCATGAAAAAATTTTAAGTACCATTGAGTGTTATCTGCTGCGTTGACCCTTATTTTATTAGAAGAATTTTTTTTTTTTTAAATTTTGACCACTTTTAGGGGTTGCTCAAGTGCCTTAAAAGTCATATTTTAGGCTTTTTTACCCTTTTTTAAGCCCATTTTTCGCACGTTTGAGCAAGTACTAAAACTCAAAAAATTTGAATTTTTTTTTTCTAGGTTTTTTTCTAAGTTAGAATTAAAAAATTAAAATGCATGGTAATTTTATTTTATTGAAATAATTTGTGTAAATTTATCTACAAAAACGCAAAGTTATGCAATTGTTGCGCTTCGCGTTAATTTAAAAATGTTGCGTATTTGCTTAAACATGTTATGCAAATTACTTTTTAACAAAAACGATATTTAATTTTGATTTAAAAACGCGGGAAATAAATATAGATTACTCTTATGATATACTTACTCCATATACTAATTAAAGCTATTTACTACCGATTTATTCATGTCAGGGAAAAGTAAGAAAAAAGTTGACACACATTTTTTGGTAAGGGAATCCAAGTCATCCTTACCAAAAGACAAGTTTGCTAAAAAGCAAGAGGTTTTGCAATACTTCTTGCATTTGAAGGAGAAGTACCCAAAACAAAAAGAAAGTAGAATTATCCACTGTCCATTGACAAAAAACTTTGAAATCAGCTGCCACAAGTTAATTACACCTTGGTTGAAGGGTGGATTTCAGATTTTACAATTACAAACAATGAGGTAGGTTTAAGACTGTATATGTTTTTTTATTTATATATTATTACTTATCAGCGGAAAATATTAATATAACTAATGTCTGCTGTTAAATAAGTTAATAAACAGAAATAGGTGTGTTGTAAAATATACCGAACCTATAAATCACATTTTTTAGTATAAAGATAGAGAAGCTGATCCGAACCTGGAAACTGTTAAAAAAAAACAAAGCAAGACAAACTTTATCAGAGATTGAAAAAAGGAGGAGGTTTTTAACTCAGATGAAAAGTATCTTTTGGATTGCACCTGAGCTTGATACTCTGGTTGCAATCATTAAAGCTGATAGGAAACGAAAGGATCAAGACAAGACTGAAGATATTGCATTTTTATTAGACCAATTAGGAGATAGAAAAACTAGAATAGGTGGAATCGATACAAGGTACCTTTACTCTGTAAACAGGAGTTTATCCAAAATTAAAAGGAAATCAAATTTACATGAAGCCATGTCAGAGAGTGAATTCAGCTCAAATGGATCGGAGAAAGATGAAGGTAATGATGATTTTTCATACCCAGATCCAGAGTTAAAGAAAAAAGTCAAAAAAACTAATACTGTTATGCTTCCAAAAGATATTCTCAAGAGAACTGCTGATACTGCTGTTGGGGAAGGAATAAGTCATAGGCAGCATGCTTCCATGATTAATAGTATAATCGCTAAATCGGGTGGAAATGTAGCTGAATCTAAATCCTCAACCTCTACAGCATTACGCGCTGCAGATAAGGTCATTCATGATGAATCAAAGAGGATCAAGGATGATTTAAGAAGTTGAAGAAAAATCAATAAGAAAAAAATTGGAACAAGATCGATTAGCAATATTAATAAACGCTAACAAGGAAACGCACCTGTTGGGAATTCCACCCATTTCTTCTGGAACTGGCGAAAATCAAAAAAATGCAATCAGAGATATCTTAAATTGCTTTAACCTTACAGACAATATACAAGCTGTAACATTTGATACTAGCAGAATCAACGCTGGAAAAAAAAATGGAGCCGTATCTTTACTGGTAAATGAAAAATGGCTAATTAAAAAAATGGCTGAAGCATGAAATTACTGAAGTGGCAACTTTTGTCTCTGTTTTCTATACTACCTGGTTTCTCAAAGCTGAACTATCCGCTGCTGCTCCGAATCAGGTAGGTACCAACTTAAAAAGTATGAAATATATATATATATATATATATATATATATAT